CACTTAAAAGAGTGTACGGACAGTTTGCATTTAAGAGCCTGTGTGAACATGATGGCTTAGTGAGTCTACACAGAGCAGTAGCCTACAGTATTGTTTTGGAGAGTTTTTTCAGTAGTTAGCCTGCCTGTTTTAGGCATACTGGTCCTATAGCCTATGATTGTAGATATACTGTCTAATTCCAATTCCTACTGTATGCTATGAGTAAATCATTGGAAATGTAAAGCCAAAGCTCATGATTTAAGTACTCACACTGTATAATCCTGTCGCCATTCCATGACTTGAATGCTCACCATAGACTGTATAAAAAATGTACTCACACGGTAAGTGTAGGCCTAATAAAATGGCCCCAGCGTTGACCCTGCGCAGTAATGGTTATTAACAATTGCCGATAAAGATTTGTTTAAATATATCAATAGATAAATGTATGTATAAGTACAAAAATAAAATAAGAAATCATTACATAAAATATGTTAACTAGATATGCAAATAACTGCATTCAAATACTGAAATGCTGTAAATAAACAAAATAATAAAAAACTGCTCAAATAAATAATTACATGCACAAATAAAGGCATAAAAGTTGGTAATTAAATAGGACATACGTAAAGAAAAGTGACATCTGTTTTTCCATTTTTGTTCAACTGTATTTGTACAGTAGTAGCAGATGACAGGAAGTGACAGAGAGTGCTTCAGGTATTCGGATTGGCTGTTGACAGTGTTTATGCATGTCAGTGGTGGATACAGATATCTGTTTACATAGATTACATAGTCTGCAAACATCCGACTCACAGAATGTTAGCATAGCCAACGTATATTATGTACAGCGAAGATTTGGTAGGAATTGCTTGCTTCTGTCTGGGTCACCTAGGGGACCAATCCTGCTCTGAGGATCTCCAACCTCATTAACATACAGACACAGAAATACAAACAAATTAATGTAGGTGTATGAATTTATGTACTAATTACCAACTTTTATTCATTAATATCAATATTAATTTTAACATTAATTTATATATTTATTCATTTAGTTCTGCATTTATTTAAGCATTTATTTATTTATTCATTTTTCTATAATTATTTATTTATTTATTTATACTCAAGTCAGTTTTCATTCTCCATATAGCCTACAATGGCATTTTCCCACCCCCTAATGAATGTGATTGCTGAAAATTACCAATATAAATTAAATACAAGTATAATACAGGGAACAGAATCCAGTTAGAACAAACATAACTTTTTCCACTAGCCACTGGCACTGCTTTCTTGAGGCCTTGAAGAAACAACAGCACCCTCTACTGAGGACAGATGAGCAGGAAAAAGCTTACGGCACGCCAGTCTCCCATCAAAGTACTAACCAGGAACAACCCTGCTTAGCTTCTAAAAGTAGACAAGAGCAGGTGTGTTCAGGGTGGTATGGCCATAAATGACAATTGGAGCTTCACACGAGAAATTTAAAGATGACAAAACTTCACTAATATACTGAACAAAATTATAAATGCAACACTTTTGTTTTTGCCCCCATTCATTATGAGCTGAACCCAAAGATCTAAGACTTACTCTATGAACACAAAAGGCCTATTTCTCGCATATAGTGTTCACAAATTTGTCACAATCTGTGTTAGTGAGCACTTCTCCTTTGCCGAGATAATCCATTCACCTCACAGGTTTGGCATATCAAGATGCTGATCAGACAGCATGGGTATTGCACAGGTGTTTCTTAGGCTGGCCACAATAAAAGGCCTTTTGAAAATGTGCAGTTCCATTACACAGCACAATGCCACAGATGTCTTAAGTTTTGAAGGAGCGTGGAAATGGTATGATGACTACAAGAATGTCCAACAGAGCTGTTGCCTGTGAATTGAATGTTCATTTCTCTACCATAAACCTTCTCCCAAGGCATTTCACAGAATTTGGCAGTGCATCCAACTGGCCTCACAACTGCAGACTAAGTGTAACCACACCAGCCCAGGACCTGCACATCCAGCATCTTCACCTCCAAGATCATCTGAGACAGCTGCTACAACAATTGGTTTGCATAACCAAAGAATTTCTACACAAACTGTCAGGAAGCGTCTCAGGGAAACTCATCTGCATGCTCGTCCTCCTCATCGGGGTCTCGACCTGACTGCAGTTCGTCGTCATAACCGACTTGAGTAGGCAAATGCTCACATTTGATGGCGTCTGGCACTTTGGAGAGGTGTTCTCTTCACGGATGAATCCCGGTTTTCATTGTACAAGGCAGATGGCAGACAGCATGTATGGCGACGTTTAGGTGAGCGGTTTGCTGATGTCAACGTTGTGGTTATGGACAACGAACACAGGTGCATTTTATTGATGGCATTTTGAATGCACAGAGATACCGTGAAGAGATATTGAGGCCCATTGTTGTGCCATTCATCCACAACCATCATGTTGCAAGGATCTGTACACAATTCCTGGAAGCTGAAAACATCCCAGTTCTTGCGTGGCCAGCATACTCACCAGACATGTCACCAATTGAGCATGTTTGGGATGCTCTGGATTGGCGTACACAACAGCGTGTTTCAGGTCCTGCCAATATCCAACAACTTCACACAGCCATTGAAGAGTGGGCCAACATTCCACAGGCCACAATCAACAACCTGATCAACTCTATGCAAAGGAGATGTGCAAATGGTGGTCACACCAGATAATCCAGACCCCCCCGACTCCCCCCAATACAGTGAAACTGCACATTTTCGAAAAGGCCTTTTATTGTGGCCAGCCTAAGGAACACCTGTGTAATATTCCGTGCAGTCTGATCAGCATCTTGATATGCCACACCTGTGAGGTGGATGGATTATCTCAGCAAAGGAGAAGTGCTCACTAACACAGATGTTGACAGATTTGTGAACAATATTTGAGAGAAATAGGCCTTTTGTGTAAATGTAGAAAGTCTTAGATCTTTGAGTTCAGCTCATGATGAATGATGGCAAAAACAAGTATTGCGTTTATAATTTTGTTCAGTGTAGTTGGATTTTTTTTTTTTATGAGTTTGGTGGGTGGCCACTGCCGCCCTGTTTGCTGTTGTTGAGGTGATATATGATTATTTTACTGTATTCTGTTGAATTACTTTAGTTCATATTATATATACTTTATATAGATATGTTTACATAATATGTTCATATGTATCTTGTTTTTTTCAGATTGTAGTTCTACTTGCATTGTTTTCACATCATGCATGATTCTAGTTCTCGTAGAAAAAAAGAAAACATGAGCATCATCCACAAGCTTATCTGTGTCTCTCACAGAGAGAAAAGTTAGTGTCAGAAGTGGGATTCGAACCCACGCCTCCATTCGGAGACCAGAAGTCCCATGTTTAGGAAGGTTTGTCACCTTGAGTCTGGCGCCTTAGACCGCTCGGCCATCCTGACAACTGTGCAATGAAGGCGGCTAGAAGGCTGTTTGACTGCTGCTCATTAAAGTTTACTACGTAGAGGTTTACATTGTTTTTCTGTAAAACAAATTAAATAATGCTGTATGAGCTCGCGTAAATTAGGACAGATTGGGCCCCACAGTGTGAGATTACTGAAGAAGTATATCGAGATGCATCACTTTTTCGCACTTTAACGTTAAACGTTTAACATTTAACTAAGTGTAGATGCAAGTAATAAAATACGTTTATAAAGCTAAGTCTACACAGATAAGACTTGTAACGTTAAAGGTTGTCAATTCATTGTTGGATTTGGAGTTTAATGGGATTTGGTGGCAATTACAAAAATGTAGATTATTCATAGCCAGCGTTAGCATTGTAAGAGGGCAGACGCTGCTTGTTTTTATAAAGGACCTGTGTGCAGGCATAAACATTGTTTACGGCCATACCACCCTGAACACTCCAGAAAGCGAAGCTAGGCTCGGTCCCGTTAGCACTGGGAATACCAGGTGCTGTAAGTTTTTTCTTGTGTCTGTCCTCAGCAGAGTGCACCTGGCTTAGATCGATTGATAGCCTAACGTTACATGTCTAGATCTGCTTTATCCGTCGTAATGGAAAATTGCAGCATTATACAGCAGCCGAGTCATAAAATGTATTTAATTGTATTAATTTCTTCAGTGCGGTGCCTGTCAGATCTCTCCCTCTCCGTGGCTGCATGCTAGACTTCCTCTGTCCGGGCTATTTAATGTTATTTTATACTATTATAGATTTAGTGTAAATTTCGAGATAACCAGCACAGGAGTCGGGACAACTGCTCGTAATTCGGATCCCGGGACTGTGTCGAATTTGTCACACTACATGAGGTAGATAAGAAAATAGAATAATAAACTAAAACTAAAATCTATATTAGAAACTCCAGCGACAAGGTGCTTATTGGAACTGCATAACCTTAGATAGTTTAATTATGAGGGGAAAACTGTGCTGAAATGCCACAGTATCGGAGCTGGCTAACAGACAAATACTACACTTGCTTTGTTTTTTTGTTGTTGTTGTTTTCTAATGTATTATATATTTTTATTTTATATTATTTTTTGATATATTTTGTTGGTACTAACATTGTTGACATTTATTTGTCGACATGCAATGCAATTGTAACAACAATTATGGGAAAAAAACCAACACAGGACAAAACAAAATCTATGCATTTCCATATTATGATTGTTTTTTCGGTACCAAAAGTTATTGTCAGAAGTGGGATTCGAACCCACGCCTCCATTCGGAGACCAGAAACCCCAGTACACTGGAAGGCTCTACCTTGAGTCTGGCGCCTTAGACCACTCGGCCATCCTGACAACTGTACGTCTCCGCCGAAACAAACATTTAAGTATTAACAATTCAGCAGCTCTCATCGTAACTGCTGGCTGTCGATGGGAATTGTATTCCTTTATTTTCCTAGTTTGAAATCATGTATTCGAGCTAAAGTTCATAGTTAAACTTGGAAGACCGCCTGCTGTGTAGATATGTTTCCGTGTTGACAGCAAGAAACGCAGACATCCACCAGGGGCGCTACAAAGTTGTTATAAAATTACTTCCGGTGTTCATACACGTGACTCTCCGACCACCTCATTACATCTCTGCTACATAACACCACAAGTCATTCTTATGAAACATAAACACCGGACTCTGTTCACTCGTTCGTTTCCAACAGGACAGTTTGTAGACAAGAAGAGAAGGCACGTTTGTTTTAAAAATGTCCATTTACAGGAACGCCGTTTGGTTTATGAAAGGACTGCAGGAGTACACCAAGTAAGTGGAGAGCATATTTTCTACTGAGAGCTTGCAATGCACAGTAATCTCTTGCCGTTTGTATGGTTTGCGTAACACTTATCCAATCCTCCGAATGTAGTATTAACCTTGTGACCTGCTTTCAGACTGTAGGCTACTCTTATATATATAAAAAAACATATATAAAACATTTTTTATTAGTGATAATATTCAACTATTGTATGGTTTTTAGAGTATTCTGGGTTACTAAATATAACTAAATGTCCTAAAAAATGTTCATTACACGTTCACAGAGCGCAAGTGACGTCTTTTAATATTGCAATTTTTATTTTAAATATTCCAAATCCAAAGATTTTCAATTCTGTTTTTCTTATTGAGATATTAAACAGGAAAAAAAAACCCACTGTTTAGTAATTTTAATTTTATAATAATATAATTTTGCTTGATCATGACTTGAATGATATTGTAAAAATTATTATTGTGGTAATAATGTTGCCTGTGTAGTGTGTATTTACAGCACTGCTCTTTGATCTTAACAGGAGTGGCTATGAAGCTGCAGCAAAGAATTTTTCCCCAGCAGACCTGGATGTAAACCTGAATGGGAGGTCCTTCATGATAACAGGTGCCAACAGTGGGATAGGAAAAGCCACAGCGCAGGAAATAGCCAGCAGAGGTGAGCGTTTGTTTTAAAGTTGACAATTAATAAAAGTCATTTTTAACAGCACAGAGACAACCGAAGAACAGTTCTTCCACTTGTTTTGTCACCAACACACTTGTCTGACTCCAATGAATGAACCAGGAAAGTAAAGTCTGATGCACAGATTGACACCTCACCATTACAGCTTGTTTCTGACTGTAATTACAAGAAGAGGTCTAATCTTTAAGGTGATGGAAGTTCCTGCTGGCTTGTCCACTGATATGTTTTAGTTTTGAGTCTATAGGAGGAACCGTTCACATGGTGTGTCGAAACAAGGAGCGAGCAGAAGCAGCCAAAGATGAAATTGTGGAACAGAGTAAAAATCAGGTGGGAAATCTGTTGCATGTCTGTCCAAGAAGAGGGATTCATCATTATCTGAATCAAGGGTCAGAGGATAGAGTCCCCTGTGGTTCTGACTGTAAAGATTTGGGCTATAAAATTAAACTTAACCAACTTTTATGCTTTTGTCCAAAGCAACTTATAATGATTTTATTACAAGCAAATATGTGTGTGAAATTGGAAACAGGTCAAGATATATTAAATAACATGAACTGCTTTTGCAAAGTATGACACAGTAGACCATCAGCATTACAAGTAACCTGCAGCAAAAGTTTAATTTTGGCCACTCAGCACTATCGACAACTCCACCTCCCATGCTCTTGACAGTCCAACAAAGAAAAATCCACACAAGGAAACATCCACTTTTTATTTTCTCCTTTTATGAGAAGAAGTTTGACAGTATATATGTTTCCTGTTAATGCACAGAATGTCTACATCCACATAGTTGACATGTCCAGCGCCAAACAAGTGTGGGAGTTCGCCCAGACCTTCTCACAAAGCAACTCTGTGCATGTACTGGTAGGTGGTGCAAGAATTTAGTTAGTTCAACTGTAATAAACACACTGGTCTGTGTAGTCATTTAGTCACTTGTTGTGTTCACCAGATTAACAATGCAGGCTGTATGGTCAACCAGAGAGAGTTAACTGAGGAGGGTTTGGAGAAGAACTTCGCCACAAATACACTCGGTAAGATATTTTTATACACTAGTAGTTCCAATAACTGCAATAGTAATTTAGTTACTGATTCCATTATTTTTGGATGCCTTATTTTGAGAATATAAACATATTTTCTATCTATCCAAGTCTTTTTTTGACAAAGGAAGCCAAAGTTCTTAAATGCAAAGTTCTTAAATGTAAAGTTCTTAAATGTTAATGTTTAAACAAGAACTTTAAATGATAAAAATGATAATGAAAAAATTATAAATTTGATCATGGAATTAGTAAACTACAAATCTGACCAGACATTTGGTACATGGCTACTTTGGTTTTCAATACTCTGTGCTACAGACAGATTTCGGTCGGCACCACAGATTTATTTATGTTTGATTCCCTGCACCAGGCAATAACTTAACTCTGCCATGTGTCATCACCTTTTTCCTACAAAAATCAAAATAAGCCACTTCTGAGTAATTGTTGTCTTACCAAAATCAGTGTACAAGCACTTAACCTAAATAAAGTACAGTATAATTTTAAGAAAATAATGGTTATAGGCAAGATGCGATTAGATAATAAGATAATAAGATACAGAAGTCAGGCCAAGCATTCGGTTGACAGCTTTTGATATTCAGTAGTCAAATGTTCTTGATAGTGCAGATAAGTGTCGCTGAACTACCTTCTCTGCTGCCCTTTATTTTCAGGTACATACATCCTCACCACAGCGTTGATACCTGCACTGAAGAAGGTTGAAGACTCAAGAGTGGTGGGTTGAATTTTGCCTGAAGAAACACGTCAATCATGTCAAACATCATGAAGCACAAATACGTTTTGGAAAGTTAAAGATGAACATAAGCATGAACAGGCAGACTCACGCTGTGCAGTTCAATCTTATTCTTTATATTTAACAGTTAAAATGTATATTTGCTGCTGCCTCCTCCCAGGTGACAGTGTCGTCAGGTGGCATGCTCACGCAGAAGCTGAACGTGGACGATCTGCAGTTTGAGAAGGGGACGTTTGATGGCACCATGGCCTATGCTCAGAACAAAGTAAAGAAGGCTGATTGTTTGTACCAGAGAGCTGAACAGAAACTGTTCTGGCATGCTTGAACTGTTTTGGTTTGTTTGTGTTGTCATTTTGACAGAGGCAGCAGGTGATTCTGACAGAGAGGTGGGCTTCTCAGCACAAAGAGATCCACTTCTCCTCCATGCACCCTGGCTGGGCGGACACACCAGGTAAACAAAAGAAAGGATATTTTGAAAGCTTAAGATTCATTAGCCACGCTGCACTTCAGAGTTCAAGACGACAAATCTGTTTTAAGCTCTGCCAAACAGCAGCTGTGGGTCACCTGGTCTGCCACTAGAGGTCACTGTGTTTGAGATTTAAGACCACATAGTGAAGTACTGTAAACCGTTTTTTATGGCATTTTAGCATTTTAGTTGTTATTAATCTGCTTGGTATTTTATTTTTATTTTTCTTGATTGTCTAAAAATAGTGAAAAATACCCACCATTACATCCCAGAGACCAGTTTGTGAGTGTAGTGGCATCATGTTTCAAGTTCCAAGGCCAGTCTGCTTGGTATGCCATAGTTTGGATTTGGTATGTCATTTAATTGAATATGAATTTTTTGTGAAGTAAACCTGTATACTCACGAGTCAGGGAAATGTTGCAGGAGAGTTTTAGATGACAGGATCAGGGCTGGTGTGTTTGATGATCTGACACACTGAAGAGGCTACTTCTGAGCAATCTTGAATGAGGTGATAATTAGTTTGTCAGTAAAGTGGGCAGCAGAGCCAAATGTTAATTAGTAAGTACATCAAACAGTTTCAGTTTTAGTTGGGAGAGTAATTCCTATTGCAGTTTTTTTACAAGTGGATTATTTTATTGATTATTGCTAGTGAAAGCTGAAGGAGGAGCCAGGTGGGTTTAGTGTTGTGGTTTTATTAGTCTGGGTTTAAAAATATTTGTCTTTGAGATTCCAGCCAATACATGAACGGCAAAGAAATTGTTGTATTTGTAGTGCTCAATGTATAAAAAGATTACGGTGAGAAAAAATTTAATTCAACAACAACATCTCTCCCCAGAAACAGTGTTTCAGTTAATATGGATAAATGTGGACAGTTTTCATTTTGACTCTATCTGTGGTAGAAATGGTAGCTGTTCTAAACACAGCTGAATATGCATTAATAATAATACATTGTAATTAATAATAAACACATTCTAAATACCAGAGCAACAGTGAAACAAAATCAATACTGTGTATTTTGGTGTACACTGTGGTAGAGACTGGGCTATAACACCTAGGATTCACTTGACACTAAAACATGTGAATTATACCCCCTGAATAACACCTACATGTGACATAAAACGCTGCCTCTGTGATTTGCAGTTTTGTTTTTCCCTCTGTAGCTGTCCAGACGTCCATGCCTTCATTCCATGCTAAGATGCAGTCCAAGCTGAGGACGGAGGCCATGGGGGCCGACACCGCGGTGTGGCTCGCTATGTCTGCAGCTGCCATAAAGCAGCCAAGCGGACTCTTCTTCCAAGGTCAGAAACAAATCACATTCTGTATTTTTAGAAGTTGAGAAACCTGTTTGTCATTGTTCTTTTCTGATATCACAACTTTTCAGGCTGGAGTCAGACCATAACTCATGGTACAATAATGTTGTGGGAATGGGCGTCACACTGGCTCAGGGGCAAACCTGCAGAGTTATTATCTAATCGTTTTACGGCATGTTTCAATGTATGTTTATGTCTCAGTGCTTTCATCAGCCTGCAGCAGCAGGCAGCTGTTTTCAGTGAAAAGGCTCTGATAAACCCTCTAATTGTAACCTTATAACCCTCAAAGATTATAAGGTAGCTTTGTATCTGCTGTATATGTAAATTGGTTATTGATAATTCACAGATTAGCCTCAACAACTTAGGGTTTTACTTGTAAATAATAATAATAAATAACTAGAACTGCAAGCAGTTGTAAGCGGGGTCCAAGCCTCCTGGCGCAAGCCGCCCCCCCTGGCCCCGCGGAGGGCGCGCGATTCGGCCCGGGCGTCAGATCGACACCAAACTTGGCACGGATAATCTCTGGACCAAGCTGATGAAAGCTGAAAGGGGAAATTTTGATCCGCGAAAAAATGTCCCAGTTATAAGCTAACAAATGTTTGCGAAAAATGCTAAAAACAGGATGTGACCAGGAGAATGACCAATCTACACCAAACCTTATCTGGCACGACTTCCCGAGGGGCTGTATGAAATTTGGTGTCTATCGGCTTCTAGGTGGCGCAATTAATCCTATATCAAATGACACTCCCATAGACATCCATTCATTACATCTCCGTAACCGCAATACCTTTAATTTCAAACTCTGGTCGTTTATCAAGTCGAGGCGTGCGGCCGACGCCGGGGGGCGAGGACCCCGTTTACAGCTGCTTGCTGTTCTAGTATTTTGCTTGAAATTGTTAGATTTCTAAGGATTCAGATTAAATGAGCAGATTTAATACTGGAATCAGATTTAATTTTAACATAACCCCTAGCCAAATATGTTTTGGGACCATGGGTCTTTAATTTCTCACTGTGCGTGTGTCAGAAGCAGAATTAAACTCTATACAACAACTGATGTCAAAGCACTGAACCAAATAAAGGCTTCATGTAAAAGAAGGAGAGTGATTGCAACATAATTATGATGAGTGATTCAGTAATCAAGGGCGATGCCTCATTGTTCATGTTTCTATAATACCGCAACAATTTGAAATTTAAATTGATTTCTCTAATCAGCTCCCTGATTGTTAGCTCCATTTGCGTGATTCAGTGTCTCTCCTGCTGTCTCATAAATCTGTGAATTTCTTCCAGATCGCAAAGCAGTAGCAACACACCTGCCGCTGGCCTTCTCCAGGTCCACACCACAGGAGGAGGAGAAGCTTCTGGCTGCACTAGAGGAGTTCGCCCTCAAGTTCAAACCTTAATATCTGCACTTTAATAACCAAACACTCCTCAATAATTAAAATTTTGTAATTATTGTTTACATAATCATGTTTTTCTCATGTACAGGACACTTTTTTACATTTTTGACTGACTGAAAGAACTCTATAGATCACTGATGCTTAAATGTAACAGTATGTATTAATTAATTAATACAAAATGTATTAATTTCCATAAAATATGTTTCAGTTTCAGTCAGGTTAAGGTTTGGTTATTTTCAAATAAAATGTATGTAAACATTTTCTTTACTTGTGTGCTCCATGTGTGTCATGTCTTTAAAGTAGATATGCAATGCCCATGGGGAGATGGATGGAGACAGAGTGTATATTAGCCTGGTGAGCTAACAACCAGTAATAAGACGAAAGAAAGCCTAAGGTCAGGTTTTGATATTAAATTGGCAGTACGTATTGGGTTCAGTCATGTCAGGTCTTAAAATCTACAGGTACAGGTCAGATCTACCCTACACACACCAAGTCCCTGCTAGTTCCATCATTGAGTGAAAATATTCAGGACTGTATTAAGTACCAAGAATGATTACTTGGATCCCTAAAGCTCTGACAGGGATATAAAATTAAGTCTTATTATTCTATAAAGTGGTCAACTCATAGGCACTTTAAATGGAAATGTAATTTATTTCCACTTTCTGATATTCATATATTCTCATCCTGAAGACATTTTAGTCTAATACTAAAAATTCATTAGTTGGTCACAGATCAGCAGACCCAAAATGTGATGGAGGAAACTGACAGCTGCAGAAGAAGATGAGAAAGACAACAAAACACTCTAAATTGGTAGAGCAGGTAAACCTTCTCTTTTAATGTGCCATTTTCACAAACATGGTTACATTAATGGACACACTGAAACACACATCAATATCTGTTTTCTTTCCTGCAACAAAAAATACCACTGGCCTCAGATGAACTGCAACAGAACTGCAACAGAAGTTCAGGTATTGTTTATGTAATAACTTTGTATCTTCTGTGTAGTCTGTTTTGTTGGGGTTTTTTTACGTTTAAAAGGACTAAATCAGTGATTTAGCACATTTTAGCCCATTTAAATCACATGCACGTTACATGATCACATGTATGCATTTTGTGTTTTAGTTTTCGGTTGTTTTCTTTTTATTCCAGGCAGCCACCCCTTTATATTAATTTCAGCACAGAGTAAAAATCGTTAAGGTGGAAACCAACAGCTTCTTGTAAAGTTTGGAAAATGACATCCTAAATACCGAAAACTTTACACCATGCATTTGAAACTGGTCTGCAAAAAAGTGAAATGCATTTATAGCCGAGCAGATGAAACTTCAGAAAAACACTGGCATGGTTCGTTAAGGTCTTAGTACCCACAAGCTCACATTCATGAGCTGCAGTGAATGTACCTTTATGGGTAGCTGTGAAAGAGCAGACAAAAAATTTTTCACTTCTCAACTTTTAGATGACATCTAACAAACATATCATATTCAGAGGGGTTTGAACATCAGAAGAATTCAACTTAATTACCATTAAACGGCAACATGATAATCGCAAAGAAAATTAATATTTTCTCTCCACAGCAGCGATTTGTAACATACGTATGCTCCTTGATTCCAGTGCATTGACATAAATGCAAGTATACAGTATTGTGACTTAAAAGACCAGTAACAATGAGAACAAAATCAAAGCAACCATGTTCATAAGCTTCCTTTCAGTCCTGATACATGTATGTTTGTGTTGCCACTGAAAAGCTTGATATGTGCATTTGCATGTTAGAAACATTAAGTCCACACTTTGAATAATAAATAACCTCATAAAACAGCTGACATGAGAGAACATACAAGGATCAGCAAGCAGTCTGATTGGTCAAGTTAAATTACAAAAACCTGACAGGTGCACTCTGCACGTCAGTGGATTTACACAGCGTGTACTTTACAGTATCATGACAAGGGTTTATTATAAAATCAATGTCCTCTGCAATGGCCTAACTTAAATTTTCTTTAACTAAAAGTCTGATGGTATTACATATATATTCCATATGATGGAAAGACTTGTTTTTATGGATGCCCCTTTACATCAAATGGAATCATTTCTACACATTTTTAGCTCAACGTAGTTTGTCTTTGGTAACTTTAGAATCTCTGAACATGTGGGTCTGAACATTATTTTGCTACAGAGAATGAGTTTGTAATCATGGACCACCTTTATGAGGTTAAGAGATTTGTTTGGTATCCAGTTTTCCTGTAACAGTGGACTGGGTGCATCAACATTAGGTCATTATCCACATACATACTTTAGCTAGAAAAACCTATGTGGATATTCAGATACCATGTAGTTTGGAGGCTGCTATGCATACAAACCTGGCCCATTGTGAGGAACAAAAGTACAGTTTCAAAATGACAAGACCCTTTCTTACATTTGTTGCCTTCCACACCCATCTGATATACAACTGAACCAGACAGGTGTACATTAAATATGCTTCCCTAATTCGTCTTTTAAAAAAAACAGTCCTCTCCTCTAGTGGCTGATATGAGGTAGAGCAGCCTAAATAGAGAATAGAATTATTTTTGTTAACACCCAGAGAGTGAATGAACAGTTTCCTTAGTGTCACATTGCTGAAGTACTATTATGCTACTGATATCACTTTGATAGATTCATTAAGATGTCTTTCCCTTGTGATGATGATACCAAGAACACAGTCTGAGGGATGTGAAGTACCTGAAACTAGGATCAGCTATCATACCGCTGCAGCCTCTCCGACCTGCAGTTTCAGTCCAACCTGTGCCACCCATTAGCAAGACAAGTAATTTTTAAGACCTGCAGATAAACTGTAGATATGCTCATGAGTGCCCTCTATGGGCAATACATGCAACAGCTGCTACAGTGTTGACACTAGTGCCACCTGCAGGCAATGACTTACAACTGCATATTTTTTTATATTGCTGAAGTTATCCAATTTTACAGATTTACAGATTTTAACATTTTAAACATGTCCAAAATGTAACGCTCCTCTGCTCTAAGTGTCTCTATGTGTCTCTGTCCTGCATAACTGACATCCTAGTTACTTTGCAGAAGGAAAGATGGGGTTTATGGTCCTAACCAGATTTCATTTGTCCAAAGGGAAAACAAAGGAGTTTTCTGATTCATTATTGACCTTGAAAATAGTTTTTTCATAAATGCAAACGTCAGGAGATTATCAGCAATGTAGGCTAACTACATTTGGTGCAGAATAGTTAAAGTTACCTTTGTTTACTGGTATATATATATAACGGTAAGGCTACTAACAGGAGAGTAAAGATTTTCTACAGACAATTAACACTTACACTCAGTTACCAGTTTATTAGGTACGCTGAGCCAAAACTTATGTAGACTAATACAACTGTCCTGCAAAAAATCCTACCATCACAAAGGTTCAAATGTTCAGTTTAAAGAGGTGTTGATAGTCTGTGGTGCTGTTAAACTGTATAACATTATAGGTTTTTCTGTTTTTAGCCTCACTCACTGATTTAACTGGGTTGGACAAAAAATAGAAACCCCTTCAGTATAAGGCAATACCATTCAACAGCACCACAAACTGCATGCACCTTCATGACGGTAGGATTATTTTTCCAGTCATGTTGTATTAGACTGGGTTAGTTTTAGATGGGTGTACATAACAATTTGGCAACGGAGTGTAGGCTCACTTGTCTAAGAGTCATCATGTGCTCAAAAAGGTTTAGTATAATGGCTGGTTCATCAATGATTAGAAAATGAATTTGAGAAGAGTAAACTACATCTGCTGATGACGACCACGTGATACAGACGATAGCTGAGGGCTAAGTGGACTTTGACATTAAACTGTTTTGTCAAAACAACATTTGTTGTCATTCACAAGCTGAATTGACATCACATTTCCTGATATGTTATTTTGGCAAACAGGTGGTCAAGTTTCAAATGTAAAATGTGTTACAATACAAAGAATGTTAAATACTTGTTGCCTGCAGGTGTCAGTGCAAGTGTCAGCTACTACTTTCTTTGCCTCCAGAAGGGAGCATCAATAGTTTAAACTGTTGCTGCCGTTACATTCTTTTCCTGCAGGTGTCGAACTGGTCTGACAATGATCAAACGGCTTCCTCTTGTTGAGACTCTACAGCCAGCTTAACGTAACTGAGTGAATTTGAGTGATCTATGGTCCAGTTACATGCAATACATTACGTGCTTTACAACTAACAAACGTAAAGTTTGGGTTTGATGGCATCTGCTGACACAGGGCAGAAATGTTTCACTTACTGTTTTGTGAGTTTCCAGTATGAAATCAGACAGGAATGCATGAAAATTAAGTACATAAGTCGTGTAAAAAAGTCAAATGCCCTCAACCCTTTCCAAACACACATATACACAGAGAGATCCCCCACGCAACAGCACCCTTCTAACAAACAAACACTCACAACCGTCTATAACCTTGTGTCAACCAAAGCCTGTCCTGTTCCCAGGCTCCACTGGCCTGCAGTGTCCTCACTGTGAATGTGCAACAGCCACTGCTTGTTGTTGAATAACTGTTAAATATTATCCAGATGACATCGATATTGTTGGATATGCTTCTCTCCTTCTCTTCCAAGTGCGACTGCCACCATCACAGTTTGGTGAACAGAGCTTCCCCGCTGACTGCTGGTCGCCCACAGACCTCAGGACACCACAGGACTCATGTCCCATAGCTGCAGGAAACATAAGACACAATCAGTTTGTTGTTTGTCAGTTTGAACTAACTATTAAGAGAGACATTTCTGCTGACACTTTCTGAAGTTCAGATAGAGATAAAGGAATAAATCTGGCACGATCTACGTCTGCAAAATTTGAGACAGAGTTCAAATAAGGTTAGCAATCACTATAATTTTTCATGTTAGCAGCCATGGTCACATTAGTGTACTTTTCTGCTTGTAGCTGTGATCATGGAAGAATCTGATGAACCACATAACAGGATATATATAAAATAGCAATACACACAGCAAATGATTATACATAACTGGCTACATACACAATGCACATAGGGGGGGTCAATAGGAGCCCATAGCAGCTTAACCCGGCTTTAATCATGCTAAAAAAAGAGACCAAGAAAAAACGAAACAACAAACCTAACCTTCTTGGCAGAGCTGAAAACTCACTCTGCTGAGGAGTGACTCCATTAAATGTTGTTGTGTGTGCTTGAATGTCTTATCTGAGACCTGTGAATACAACAGATACTGTTTGTTCCCATCCAGACCTTGATAACCTTGTCAGTGCCAGAGGTGAGCAGATTTCCAGTGGTGGGCTCATAGTGCATGTAAACAATGCTGTGCTTGCTGTCGTGGAAGGTGGCTGTGGGCGCTCGACTAGAAGACACAAAGGGAACGCCGGTTACTTTATTGTGTAAGCACTCAGAAAGCTGCGAGCACAAAGGGTCAGTATTATGACAACAACAGAGGCTGATTGTAACTCACTCTTCGTCGGTGATGGACTCGTGGCAGCTGTCACACACACGCACCTCGAACTCGAAGCCCATGAGGGGGATGGTGGAGCGTTTGGACGAACATTTTCCACACACCGCCTGGCCACACTTCCTACAGTGATGCTGAGGAACACAGGACGACTTTAACATGTCAGTCTTTTATCTTAATTCTTACCAGGAGCAAAAGTGTTAAAAGCTTAACTCTCAGAAGTGGATGGAAATCATTGACTTGCAAGTCAAAAGCAAGTCTCCAGTCTGGGCTACGAATCCTGAGTCCAGTTCCAAGTCAAGACCAACAAGTCTGTCCTGAACTTTGTGTTTTGAGTCCAAAACAGGTCATTATGCACTTTTCACCAAATGTAATCCCAGTTTAAATTTAAATTGTTGAATAGTACAGTAAATCTACAGAAGTAAAACATGCTTTTAAAATTTAATACTTTTAAACAAACTATAACTTTACAAAGCAAAACACATCAGGTGTACCTTGGAGTGTTTTTCCTTTTGCACAATTACAGTCATTTGTAATTTCTGGGCTGAATATTCCAGCCGGTTGTGCCACGTGATTGGCTGCTGTCGAAATGAGTCAAAGTATATTCTTTTTTCATGACAACTTTTTTAAATCTCTTGAATGGAGGAGGATATCAAGTCATCCCAAGTCAAAAGACGAAAGTCCAAGTGAAGTCACGAGTCACTGGTGTTTGAGTTGCAAGGGATTTTGGATTGTGCTAAAAAGCACCACACCACTAGTTTCATACTTTTTTTTTGTTGAAAACATGGACCTTGATCTCCACAAACACAAACATTACAGTTTGTTGTTCTTGCTACAAAATGAAGATTGCTGTGAAGTCAACAAATGTCTCTCTCTCTGACACACACACAGCTGAAATGAAAACCACAACTTAAAGCTCTTCCTGAGAATGAAACAATAAAACAGCCGCAGGGCGTTAGCTGGCCATTAGCATAGCAGGAGTGAAGTTTCTGTTTCCTGGAAAGTTGTGATGAATTCAGGGTGTGTTGGAGCTACTGAATTTACAGATCTCGTAACTGATGTCTAAACTGAAACTGTGGTGTTGATGATTCATAATTTTTAATTTTAAAGTTTGGTGCTCTGGGGGTGGTGTTGGTGTTTACACATCAAACATTAGAATAGAAGCTTTGGACCGCTGGTTCAGAGCAAGCTGTTAACAGCAGCTACAGTTAGCGGCAGCTACCATTAGCAGCAGCTGGCGGTTACTTTAGCATTAGCAACAAGTAAAGCTATCTGTCCATCAACTTCATAATTCACAGAGTTGACGGCAGAGCAGCCGGAGGATATCAAAGGGAAACCCAGAAAATGTTTATCTTAGCTTCATAACTGTAAAAGCAATTTCTGTGAGACATACTGCACAACCTCCAGCTCCAGCTCGATGAGCTCATATGACGCTTTTTAGAACATGGACTGGTATGTGGAAATTGTGGGGGCTTAAATATTAAAATGATCCAAGATGTTATGTCACATCTAGTGCTTGTTGGCATTTGCCCTTTTTTCCGGGGTCTTTTGCATGCACGTGATTTACATATGAAGGAGGAAACAATGGTGATTGAGGCTCACGGTATGTCAGTTCCATGTACTGAACTCTTTCTATTCGACTATGCCGGGGTGAATACAGTTTTCCATTCTACAGGACCTTCAAACGAATAAAACAACATTATGTATGCGATTGTACAGTACCTGTCGTAGGCCGATCTTCTTACTGTCCCACATCTGTTTAAAGTTCCAGAAGAAAGGCTGCTCACACTTCTGACAGGAGTCACTGTCCAACCACTCTGGGGTCTGTGCAAACACACATTTTGAAAATGATCAGAAGTAGTCTAGGTGCAGTAGCTTTGACATGTTGAGTTGGGGAGCAACTGTGATAAAACTGCTACTTTTCAGAAGAGTAACACGTGGAAGCTGGGAAATAGGACATGGGGTATCCTGACTAATTGATGTCAAGATGCCGTTGGTGTGTGTTTCTTTAGTTTATTGCTATAGTGCCACCGTGGGACAATTGTCTTCAACGTTTTTTGTGACTTTAGGGATTTTGTTCAGTCAGAATAAAAGTTACTCTGGGTAAAAAATGAAGCAATCACATCCTAACTAACTGTCTGGAAACTGGTAAAGAACAGAGGAAGAGGACGCTAGACTGTGTGTGCAAGAGAGAAAATCAAAGGAACACTCTGCTAATCCGCTGACCTTTAATGGATCTCTTAAGAGAATTTATTCTAGAGTAGGAGGGAGAGCTAACAGCAGTTATCCAACAAGCTGATCTGTATCACAGTATACGCACGTGTCCAAGCAGGCAAGAAAACACACTGCACACATGACATATTTCCTCATCTTTCCATAATTTCTTCACAATTTGTCACAGTTCACAGATTGATTATCAATGTGTGATTGTGTGTTGGGTTTATGTCACACTGCATCAGTCTGCTGTCTTCTCTTCCCCCTCTCACCTCTTGTCGTGTTACATCCATGTTCCAGATGACAATGCCTCCATCCGAGCTGCAGGAGATGAGCTGTCGAGTGTGTGAGGCGTAGCACAAACCCTGAATCTTTTCACTGTAGGGAGCACACACACAAACAGGCATTGGAAGACAAACTCAGCAAGCACTGAATAAAATAGTACAGAAACTTTTTTCACCTCACTCTGTGATTAAACAGCCGTGTTACATAAAATACAACTTTTTCTTTTTTTAATTATACAGTCAGAAAGATGGCCCTTTTCAGACATGGCTGGCTTTAGATGTGCAGCTTGGTACGTAAATCTGGTTTCAATTTCACATCTCTTACGTAATAGTCACTTTCAACAAGTTACAAGTCTGAATTTAATAAGATTAGAATTTAATTAACAATTGTTTCCATTATTGATTAATGAACCCAGTGTTTTCTCTATTAATCAATTTAGCGCTTGATCTATAAAATGTCAGATAGTGCTGCTCAAATGCTCATCACAAAGCCCAAGATGGCCACTTCAAATCAATATTTTGTCTGACATAGTCCAAAACCCAAAGATATTCTGTTTACAATGTTGTGAAACAGAGAAGAGCAGAAAATCTTTACAGCTGAAAAGATGGAGCCAGAAAAATTGGAAGTTCTTGCTTGAAAAGGTTATGATAAATCAATTATCAATATATTGACTGGTCAATAAATCAATTAATGGGCTAATCATTTCAGCTCAAAATTAAATGCTGTCAGATAGGTACATGGAGAGATTAAATGCATGTCTGGTTTGCCTTTTTAAGACCAATAAGTCTTCTTGTCACCTGCATGAATGAAAATATGAATGTCCAGCAATATTTTCCAACCACTCCGTTTATCTCCGTGCCTTAATTAATGACCACTGGGAGCTTTCGGGATGGCCAACCACTAATCTTATCAACTCAGGTTCGCAAAAAAAATCTCTCATAAATGTCATTATTTATTAGATAGAATACAGAAGTCTGCAGCCTATTAACCTGCAATAAGACGGCACTAAGCAGAGTCGAAACAGGGAAATGTGTAATTGTAATTCTTATCGGAATCAGAAGGAGCTTTATTGCCAAGTAGTGGTTTACACATACGAGGAATTTGCTGTGGTGATAAGGTGCTATTCGCTGTCGCCTACATAATGTGTTTGGATGGATATTCATACAGTGAACAGTTTGCATGAATTAAGATAAAAAGTTGGAGAGAGACAGCTGAATAAGAGACACATTCAAGAGGGGATGTTTGTGATTCTTACTTGTGTCCTTGCAGTTCGATGGCGGTGCCTTTGCGTCCTCCGATGTCCCACATGATGATGGAGTGGTCTGAGCTGCCGGAGAACAGCACCCTCTGGACCGGGTCCCAACACAGCGCCGTCACATTGCCTGGAGCAAAGCACAGCACAGCACACACATAAACAAACACACAGGCAAATATGTGAGTGAAACACATGAGCACAAAGTCACACACTTGCACAAAGGTCAATTAACATGGATACACATCAGGCCAAGGCCAGTGCATGAAATATCATCACTGACGATAAGTCTTCTCAGAATTATTTATGATCCACTGAATTGATTAATTAGGAACTGGGTTGGTGTCCCCCGGGCTGTCATGCACTGGTTCTCATTTAGTTTAAATTTTGAGCCTAAAGGCTAATTTGTGAGACAGATATTGTTAACACACATAACTTCTTAGAAATATCATGTTTGTTTGTTTTCTGATGTTTTAAATGACTGTCAATGATTAATGAAAAAATACCTGCATGGGACACAAATCCTTTCACTAATTCAAGATCTTTGCTCCTGGCCCTGCACTCTTCTTTAAACTACTTCAGATGCCTCGTTATCCTTTAACTCCAATCAACAAGCTTGTATCTGAAAACTTTAAATCCTATTTACAAAACTGTAAATTACATTTTTCATTGCCTCCTTTGTTGAAGCAGATCTGAGTGATGCAAAAGAGGGTCTTGACCCTCATTGTCAAGGCCATAGTGGACTTCAAGCTTTTAAAAATCCCTCTTAAGTGCTTCAATATATCTACAACCTGCCTGAGGACAACAGAGTCAATCTAGCATCAACGATTGTGTGATTTTTATGCAACTACTGTATGGACCTCAGTGGTTTGGGTAAGGTCCTTCTAAATATAAAAAAAAAAATTTAAGCATCAAGATCCTTTATGCCTTTTCCCTCCTGACATAAGTTGTTCCCAGCTGATATATTTCTGCAAAAAGCTGTAATTGTTTCATTATTGGGGGCCATTTATTTAAATTGCGTTGTTTTCGTATTTGTAAAGCCAAGTGTAACATTGCTTTGAAAAGACAATTTTATACGTAATTACCAAAAGTATTATAAAATTCAAGTGTCATTTGTATTTGTATTCATTTGTATTCAGTAACAGCTTCTCTTTCTTACATACTGTATCAGCAGAAGAAACAAGCAGCCCCCGAGGAAGATACTTCAATTCTCACAAACTAATATTTGTAAGAGTTGTGAGTGTAGAAAAACAGACCAACAAAGATAATCTGGGCTTAGAGACATAGCTGCAAGGTCACTTAGGAAATTTATATTTGTACAGACAAATACTGAACAAATATTGTGCTAATACTGATGCTAGTGTTTGTTTTCTATGGTTTAGGCTGAGGCTGGAAGAATTCAGAGCTTTATAATATGGCTTCAAATAACAATTACTTTCATTATGGATCAATCTGTTGATTATTGTATTGATCACAGATTAATTGTTTAGGCTATAAATGGCAAACATTTATGAAAAAAGTGTGGGGTGTACCAGTGTGTCCCTTGAACGTGGTGACCAGGCTGCAGCTGTCCTGCTCAAGCTTCAGGATGGTCACCTGACCAGACTGGTCCCCTACGAAGGCGTGTCTGGTCTCCACATCAAACCTGGGATAAGATTATGGTTGAGGAAGAAGAAACTGCGTTCCCCTGAAAAACTATTGATACATTAATTTGGATCTTTATCTGTTACCAGACCGAAAACACACACCAAACAAGAAAAATCCCGCTGCAATTTCAGCACAACAACTGAGCTGCACAGTGACCCAAAAGATTTTATCGGTGTGAAAACTTTAACATTTAAGATCTGAAAGCCATTTGTTGTGGCAGCAAAGGAACTGCAGTGTGTCAATGGATGACAGCCTTTTCACTGGCCATTCAGTCCAGAGTCCTCCTCTGACCTGGTTAAGTCACAACAGAACAAAATCATTACAATGCTGTCTGCATAGTAGAAGAGGAAAAACAACAACTCCACTAGGAATAATCTAATTATACCATCCAATCTAAATAATTCTGTCTTACAAAACATAACAATGAATTGGGAGTTTTCAATTTTCTTTCTCTCTCTTGGAACTCAAGATTATATTTTCTGTGTCATTAACCGATTAGGTGACAGATTAAGTGATTTACAAGTAAAAAGACATGTAATGATCTTGATCAGTGGTTGACTGTTCTCCTCACTCTAAAGAAATCGTCTTTTCTTTTCTTTTTTAAGTCAACCAACAGTATTTGGGAATTTGTAATGTTTCACAATTTAACACAAAAATAGGGCTCTACTTCCAATGAACCACAGAGCATGACAGGCTTTGCCATATTTTCTTGACTTTGTGTTTGACTCACCCGTTTGCTTGATGAGCATCACACACATTTGTATCAGTACAGAAACAGCCCTTATCATCACATCTACAGTCACTCAGAACAAAAAAACTGTCACTGCTCAGTGTCTCTACTTCCACTGATTTTCTTGCCATGCTATCCAGACTGGTTAGCATATAGAGGCCAGCAGGATGTCAGCAGTCTAAAGGCCTCATGGCAGGCTCATTGGTATGGATCAGTGTCACTGCCGAGCACCCACAGCCTTTCATCTACCCGTTACTGAAACCTACTCAGACTGTTTCCTGGACAACAGCAGGACTGATGCCTATTGTTAGCCCTTCCCATTAGTACAAACTAGCTGGAAGCTAATCTCTTTTGCCCTGTCTTATGTTGCTGTGGCCTTAAAATAGACTGTGTTGTCATAATAAAAGGCAGATATTTTTTACAATCCAAAGCACCAAAGATGGCTAGTCACTTCCCACTTAGTTACATCCACCCCACTCCATTTAGCAAGAAGCTTGGCTGTCAGGTTTATTGAGCGCACTCTAAGGGCTAAGTAGCTGGCAAACCAAGATAACAAACAGACCAGGAGGGGAAGGGGGGCATTAAAGGATACTGTAGTCCTGAAACCCAGGCGGCGGTTCGATATGTCCCAAGCTGTTGGCCGCTTTCTGAGCAGTGCCAGGTGAAGTTTTTGTCCTGGCCAGTGCTCAGAAGCCACTCCATCTCCAACACAAACAGCACCACTGCCACTCTGCCCTGATGCGCTGCAGGCACACAAAAACACAAATAAATACAACATGAGATCCATTTTCACCATCACTTCAATCACAGTACAGGTGTCTATCCAGATATGTTAGGTAGGACGGTGTCACAAATATCAAAATTGTGTTTAATCAACATTTTTTGTGTGCTGAAACTGCACAGAAATACACATTTAACACCATTTTTCGAAAGCAGTAGAGAATAATCCAGCACCCCTACTTTCTTGAAGTTAAGATCTGATAAACAAATTAAGATAAATTTACTTGACACTGGTGCAGATATTTTGAGATCTACAGTTTCACAGAACACACAGCCACACATGACACAAGGACATGTGGTCCACATCTTTATATAATATCAGAGAAACACACCAAGAAAGGTCAGTTGTAATTATTACTCAGCATCCATCTAAGAATCATTTTTTCAAGGCTTGTGCATTCATACATGTAATATAGTTGAGGCTGTAGAAGAGACATGCGGAGATCGATCAGTGGTGCTCTGGTCCAGTTATTTCTGAGTGAGTTATGCTTAAAAAAAGTAATGAATTATGAATACACTCCTTAGGCTCCTCAGAGGAGGAGACTTTCGCAGTGAATTGGACTGAAACTGCCTGAGTACTAATAAATACATCGTAATAAATAATATTATGGTCCAATGGATTGCAGTCTGAGGATGGTGGCAGCTCTTAGAAATAATCTTTCAAAGCCATGAGTGTAATGATTCATAATTACATATTTAAAGATACACTTGATGTTACATGTGAAGCTACGACACAATGGATTCTACATTCAGATGTCTGCAGGTATCAGACAGTTGAATGTTTGTCTTGACATTTAAAGTCAAAATAAAAATTTTGCTGCTCAGACCACACTCCTACACAGAAAGCTGGACGATGTTCCACTGTCAAACAACTCTGCCTGAAGAGGAAGTAAACTGGAACTACCTATAGTTGTATTATTTTCCCTTAACAATTTTCCAACTTGCGATCGCCAAGCGTTCGAGGTGCAACAACAAACTGATATTTCTTGTGTACACACACACACAACTGTCCTCTCAGCAGTGCCCTTGATGTTAATTAAAAATGGTAAAAAGAAAAAAAAAAAGGTAGACCATAAAAGGCATAAAGGCAACTGAGCGTATATATACACACCTGTTTATATTTAAAATAATACATCCTAAATACTGATTAACTAACTACTTGTAAAGACTGTTCTACATGTAAAGTGATGTCAAAATATGTATCCAATGTTATTAGGTAGCTTTTGGTGAATATATTCTCACCAATCATCTCTGCACAAATATCATTTGGGAAAATGTTTATATACAACATTTACTAACTTTTGCAGATTACTTGCTGATGTAGCTAGACATCATGTCATCAGTTTGTCACATTCAGCATATGTACACTTGCACCTTAAGGTTGGTTTTGGGTTTTATATCAAGATGTCTAATTCTGGGACGGAAGCAATGTCACTTAATTAAAAACAAATAAAGTCAGCTTAGCTTTTTTTTTTTACTTTTTCTGGACTTTTAAAGGTTCAGTGTGTACGTTTTAGTGGCATCTAGTGGTGAGGTTTGTGAATTGCAACCAACTTTCCAGTCTACCACTTCCTCCTAACCTTTCAGAGAGCGTAGGACTGCTATGGTGGCTGACACAGCACAAAAGGTGTCTCTTCTCAGAGAGCAGAGAGTGGCCAGTCAAGAAATGAGGTTTCTCAAGGTAGATACATTAAGAAATTATATTTACTTAATTATTCATTAAAACCATATGTCACTGCGAATTGTCCACTGACAGATAACATGGAAAATGTAAGCCAAGAGTGTGTAACATTGTCACTATTTCTGCACCACAGTCCATTATAAACCACATAATAGATAAAGTTTAGACAAACATCGACAAGGGAAACACATTTATTCTCTCTGTGATTATGGACCCTCGCCAAAACTGCCCGCCAGTAATAATATCTGGCCCGCTGCCAGATTATGGTGCTTTGATAGTGTCAAAAAATATAAATAAATACTTTGATAGCGATGCTGAAATAGATCTCAGTCATGACAGCAACAGTTACTCAGATAATCACTTTCTTTTTAAGCCTCGTGCAGACTACACGACTTTCAGCGACAGCCGATGGCCGTGCCGTTCACACTACACAACTTGCCGTCTTGTGACGGGAGCCTTGAAGTCGTGGAGGCGTTCACACTACATGACTGATCGGTGTCAGGGGGGTCACACACTACACGAGCTGACAGCGGCTGTGTCACCCGACGCTGGTCTCCAAACCACGTTTTGTCAAGAAAACACACGGGAAATGTGAAACGGGAAATGACACGAACCTACAGATGAAACAGCTGTTGTTTGTTATTATAAATACAGCAATTATAAAGACAAAAAGTTTTTTACTTTACATACTGAGACATAAATGTCTCATTCTAAGATAACAAAAACATAACGTTTCATAATGTATGGTTTTTATACACCACTGAAAACATAGTTATGGATCTTATATTGCATTTCTGTCAATAGATCCTCAGAAATATTACACACTGAAACTTTAAGACTAAATTTAAAAACAAACCAACAGTATCATTTGGTTCTCTTCCAGATATTAACTGACTCACACATTTATACACACATGCACACTTCCTCTCACCCTGGTAGGTGCGTGCTGGGGTCATCTTATTGTAGTCTTCTGACAGGATGAACTCCTGAAAGACAGGAAGTGGGGATTAAATTTCACACTGACTGAGGTCAATGACCAAGACTCAAAATAAATCTATAAATGGGAAACAAAGCATGTTATTGTGTTTAAATTCCAGTATGTATGTACTGCAGGCCTGTGCATAAGCCAATGAAAGGAAAAACAGCTGAATTCTTGGTCTGAAAAGTCTGCTTTCCACTGAGGCCACCACCCATAGTAAAACACATCTGGGAACTTGAAGTTTTAAGGTTGTTCTGAAATAAACATCCTAGAAAATGTTCTGTTCTGTTACTGTCTGCCTTTGTGTTGGGAGAACTTTCCAAAACAAACAACTCCCACTGTGAAATTTCTCAAACAACAAAACAAAAACTGGACAGTAAAAAAATGCTGCATCTTATAACAGCCTGAACTGTAATGTGCTGTACAGTACATGGCAGTCTAGTAAGTACAGCTCCTGTCAGAGTTGTTTGTCACAGAATGAAACTACTTAAAACAGACAAGTCCACCAGTCAGAAGTCTCACTAGTGGCCACTAGACGCTACAATGCTCATTCCAACATATTGGTTATTTTGCTGACTTAAGAGCTTTGAGAATAATGAGGGCAGACCACAGGGGTAGACCAAGCTGCAACTTAAAGCTCTCACAACTGAAGCCAATGAGGAAGAAACTTAATCTTACATTCTCTCTAACAACCAGCAAGGGGCGACTCCTCTGGTTGCGAAAAGAAGTCCGGTTCCATTAAAAAAAGTGGTAAAACGATCCTTCTTCTCACACCTGATTTATTACCTCAGTAAACAATTTCCGGAGTTTTTATTTTTATTTTATTTATTTATTTTATTTCTTTTATAGGGACTATACACATAGATCTTCACACAAATATCTACACACATGGTAATGATAACGCTAGTAAATAGGTTATATATGTTATAAATATATATGTATCTATATAACAACAAAAAAAACAACATACGCATACATACATATTATACAAAAACTCTGAACAAAGAAAATAAGGGTTGGGGGGGTGCCAAGTGCTTTTGGGGGAGTGGGAGGGACAAAACTGCACACTATTAACTATGGCAAGGGGTGGCGATGGTATAAGATATACTGTAATCACCTAACTTCTCTTCTAGGGTTATTATTAGGTTAAATTTAAAATGTAAAGAGTAGGCCTAGTTATACTCATCACGTGTAGGTGCATGTTTTCCTAAATGAAAATTAGGATTCAAATCAGGAAGTGACTAATGACTACAGCCTGAAGTGAAACACAATCCTGTCCATTCTGAAAATCTATAAGGTTCCACACCACCTCTATACTGCTCAAAAGAGAATAGACAAGGTTTTCCTTGCTTACCAAGTGACAGCTCACAGTGACCTGACCAAGCTCTCATTCCAACTAAATAGACAAACTCACCAGACACATTCCTGTTATACTGGAGAGCAGCCAACACTTTAGCCAAAATACATACAATTAGAGCTGGATTCCATTTTATGTGCTAAAAGACAGATGACAAATGTCACAAGATCTTCCTGTCAACATACAGATAAAATACTGGGATAATATGTATGCTTCAGGTGATGAAAAGCAAATAGTCTTCAGTTAAATGAGGAAAGCAGGCTGGGGGTTGGACTTACACAGATGCTTCCAGTATCCATCCCCACAGACAGCCTCCTGGTCTCTGGGTTAAAGGACATACAGGAGCTTGATGCTGGAGACACAAAGACATACAGTAATACAATATTACAGCACTAATAAACCTTTCCAGTCTAAACTGATATTTTTTACATGTACATTTGTATTGTTATTGTAATTTAATTGTCACTGTGATTTCTGTTCTGCTGTAATACACGTCTCAGCATTTGAGCGATATAAGAATTTCAGCGGTAAAACTCCCAACAACAAATCATCCGTATTGACACTTGAGTGTTACAAATTCATTCTTGACCTCGGAGAGACAGCTGATTAACAAAATAAATCTAATTTCAAGGTCAATTTTTTGAACTGTCAACTGCATCTCACGGTCTTCCTCCACGGACTGAATTTGTTCAGTTGACCTAAGTTCTATACTTAGGACACATGATGACAATTGAGCAAACTCCCTCAACTGAGAAACACCATGCAATGAAATAGCAAGCTTTAGAGAAGCTAGTGAGTGGACCTTGAATTAAGATTTTCTTGGGCACTGGCAAATATACCCAAAAATACTAATTAGAACATGATCAATATTTAATTTTGAGGCAGATACCAATAGCAATATTTGAGTTATATACAATGGTTGGCTGGATTACAACACATAATAAAACAATATGTGTTATCTAGACCAGGAACATTGTTAAATTGTGTCCACAAGCTGTGTCACCTAGTCTGTGGTGTAGATGGTGTACTGGAAGCGTTATTTTCAATTTAATTAACATCTCTTTGAAACAGTTTTGACCAATGTCAGCTTGTACTGTTTCCAGCCCTGCCTCAACAATAAGCGAGTATAGCTTGAATGAAACTGTCTCAACAACAGTTTACCATTCAGAGCTTCACAATACACCGGTGGTTTGATTATTCTGCAGGCTAATTGCTCAGTACACAAAAAAATCCCAAACAGCTTTACTCCTCAGTCGCTGCTGATATAGGTCTCTCAAGCAGAAAGTGTTTTACTTTAGACAATCAACCTTGGTGCAGTTTATTTAGCATTTTCAGTGTTTTCTTTGCTCATCTTGTTAAAATAATAAAATTAACTCTGCTAATGTATTCCCGCTTTGGGTCAAACATATCAGAATCTGTATTTGTCTATAATGAGTGTCTCTCAAAAATAACATAACCGCTGTGAGGTCATCATGTAGAAACAAATGCAGTAGCAGTGTTTAAACAGTTAGCATATAGATACCAAGTATTTATTACCAACAGAAAAATACTTTCCGTTCCTCTAACTCAAAAGCCACAATATATTTGTTCATTTCATGGACCACTGACTTATATTTGGAAGGTTCATTTGGTGATAAATAATCCCACATTGAATATACTGTAGATCAATTAGATGTTTCTGTTGAACCACTTGGATAACAGTGTTCTGTCACAACTTCCTGGATATGATGGCAGAGGTTAAGCAGACAAAAAAAATAATAAACATGGAACCAAAGTCTCTCCAATTTGACCTCACCTGAAAGTTTCCAGAGAGCACCACAAACATGGACAACTTGTGATGAAGCAACACAAATATGCACAGATGCCTTTATGTATGAAAAACGCCTACTTATTAATAAAGAACTATACCAAAACTCCATTCAGGAAAAGATTAATTCTATACGTTATCAAATTTTAAGTAATTTCAATCACAATTTTGACTCAGTTCTGCCTAAGATAAAAACTGAAAACAAATTTCAGTTGCTATATCTGGAAATCCTTAAAGGGGCTATATGTAATTTTTCAATAAAATCGCTTATTAATAAATGTAATTTTTACCGCCTTTTTGTTAATGGGCTGTCGTCTCACTTAGAAATTAACCAAACGCCTGTTTTCTCTGTTGCTTTGAACAGCCACTATTCTGCTTTTAATGTGAAGGTATCGGGTCAGGAGGTAGCTACATGTGCACTGCAGCTAACTAATGCAGTCCACTAACACCATAAAACGACCATCTCCCAGCACAACACAGACTCCAACATAAACTCCACGTAAGGATAAAAAACAACAATAAAGTTTTATGTGTTGGAGCCCGTCAGGCCAAACAAGAATCAGATAATGTCCTGTGAAAACACAGTCAACATCAGAAAGGCTGCTTGTTACCTCGCCGGCTGGCGCATACTAGTTCCTAACGTTAATATTCTATAGTTGTAACGTTATGGCTTTCCACATTACTTCACCAGCTAGCATGCAATTGTACAAAGCAAATGTGGAGCGATTTGTTTATACTAGCCTATAATGATGCAAGTCAGGAGCAGCCAGCTAACGTTAGCACGGATCTAAGTTACAGCTGTTTGCTTCGTAACTTTCAATTTCGAGTTACTGACGTTTTACCGATTCTCAGGTGAACAGCTTCTCCACCGTCTCAGTCGCTGTAACTTACGTGACCCACATAGTATAAACTAATGCAACATAACGGTCAGGACAACAACACAGTTGAAGAACCGTCCACTACAGTAATGTTACTTATTGTCTAACTGTTTTAAAGTGTGGCAACAATCTCATTTACAATATTTAGTCTAGCTCACTAAATGTTTAATTTTCATCCAATACATTTAGCGGTGCTGACACTGCTGAGCCTCCAGTTAAAGATAAACAAATAGTAATGTTAGTTATGGAAAAGCAGCAGGCGAGCTAACGGCGTTGTTGTAAATGCAGTAAATGCACAGTTATCATGCAACAAGCATGGATTACTTCAACCTCAAGCTAATGAAAATATTAGTGTAACATTGCAGTGGGAGTTTACCTGACTTTCCAGCATGTTCTGTGAAGCTGTCTCCCTGTCTGTCTATACCCGCTTTCACACTGCATTTTTTTTCAGGGAATATTGTGCCAATATGTCGGCTTGCTGCACGGTCTGGGCCAAGTACGTTTAACAGAGCCAGAACATGTCTGTTTGAAAAGCCACAGCCAGCATGCCGATCTCTGTATTAGGGGTTGTGTTTCAGATTATTCTCGCTCATGAGTTCAAACCTATGGTTCAAGCATGCGTACGAGCACACACCCAGTTGCATCTTAAAACCACACGGCTAGTGGCCGCTGAAAACGACATGTTGCCCCTTTAAAGTGGTGATTACTGTTTTATCTTTTGCACACTCATTTCAGTTTTTATATCAATAAACCAAAATGATAAAATATGCAGCCTCTGGTAGTGCTATTGTAGGCTACAGATCTTGCTGATGGTCACACAGGATTTCCTTCAGTTGCACAACTGGAGGGAAACAAGGACAAACAGTGTCACAGACATGCAGCACTGCAGTACTGAAGAGAACAGAGTAAATGATCCTACAGGAGCTCAAACGCTGAATCTCATTTCAGGAGCAACTAAACTCCACGCTTTCATGTCATTCTGAGAAGTGGAGTCTGTGTGATTCATTGTGTTCGTCATGATGAGGAGAGATGCTCACACAGAATGAAAGCAAACAGAGGAAGAGCGAACAAAAACAGGAATGAACAACAGGCCTGTTCCAAGAAGTACATGTTATCTGGACAACTTTGCTGACAACAGTTAGATACATATTCATTAATTATATCATTACACTGAACAAGCCACAGACATAGCCTTTGTCTTTGTTTTGTTTAAACTATAATAATAATAAACAGTAATGAACAGTGCACAAAAAATTACTATTTATACATAGGCCTATAGGAAAAGGTAATCAAGGATACTTACATGACATAGTGTGGTAGACACTGGGCCAGTACTGACCGCTGTCCCTCTTCAGCCACACCCGAATCGTCCTGTGGGGTTAAACCATAACGTTTTAGCCTTTGCGTTACCAAGAGCCCTCGTGGCATCTGTTAAATTCTTGATGTGTTGCATTCTCCAGTCATGTTTAGCTGTGAATAACAAGCGGGCTACAGTTTCTCTTTGAAAAGTTGTCTACTTTAATCGACATCAAAAAGGTAAGGCAGCAAACACATCCAACTTCATTAAATAACTGGTGGAATAATAATAATAATAATAATAATAAAACATAACTCCCCAACATAATCTACCCCCGATATGTACTAGAGTTGCCGTGGGACTATTGCGATTCTGAACTTCTTTTTTTCTTTCTTTTTTTTTTTTTAAGACAAAGGTCACCTGAACCGAGCACCACTGAGCTGGGGGGGGGGTTTGTTGCTCTCACTGGCCATCGGTACACATTGAACAAAAGCTTGCAAGGAAAAGATGGGCTTGTGTTGCATTTACACACATGAAATCATTTGCTGTGAAGTTGTGAGTGGCAATTCATTGATGGCAATGCTGCACACTTCCCAGCTTTGTGGGAAATGATTTCCAGGTTCCCCAACGCCAACATTTTTGTCAAAATGGGGGAATAATGTCACAAAATGTAACGAGCACTTTCCGGCTTTCGCTGCCATTATGAAGGACATTAACCTGTTGTCACACCCTTTCTCTGTAGATGAGAAGAATGTGCAGTTAAAGCCTATTGAATTGCAATGTAATTATACTTTCCATAGTTAAAACTGTCTTTAGAGTTCTACAGGGGTCTGTAAAAGTCCAGACAAATGCTCAGTTTATTTGGTTCTACAAACAAATGGGAGAATATATTTTCTCTTCTAACATTTAACAAGAGCAAACTGAGGTCCCCTGAGACTCTACAACTAAAAGGCTCATGGCTAAAGACTACACTTTTTTCTTCATGTGGCCTCTGGTATGAAATGTTTGGACACCCCTGCTTTACAGCCTCCTCTTCCCAGCTTGTATGTGGCCAAGAAGACATTTTCCCCCAAAATAAAGGTTATTGACGGATTTTTTGGTAATTAGCTACCTACCTAACGTTAGACACTCTAAAAAAACAAAAATCACCAGTTAACCCAAATGTTTTTAGCGTCAACTTACTTGGTCATTGGTTTAAAAAAATCAAAGTACACACTGTCGTAAACTAGCATGTGTCACTTTTATAGAAATGTAAGGGAATGTTTTCTTCTATAACGGGGACTTCACTGTTTTTACATGCAAACGGCTTTGAAATTAATAAACTCATTCATTGACCGACAGGAGCTGGAACATTGTTGAGAGACAAACAAAGGTTATAAATCGGGATTTTAGCCGCCGTGTAGCCTCAAAGCTTAACGTACCTGTCCTCAGACACGCTGATAACGCCGTCTTCCTTGGGGATGATGACCGCCGTGCTAACCACATCTTGGAAAGCCTCGATTTTGCTCAGCAGACATGGCTTCCGAGCCTGCGGTTGGGGCTGAATTTCGGCCGCCATGGGTTGGTGGTGCACAAACCTCCGTCTACGGTTCTGGCTCCGGGAAACATAACCCACCCCGGTCCGAAGTAGAGCCTCGGCTAGGAGCTGCTAGCTTGCTGTCAGCAGGCAAGGTGGTGTTGTGACGGCTCCCCGAGATGCTGCCTGTCAGCTGACAACACACATGCATAATGTTTCACGCCTGCAGCCACGACTAAGCATTTCCTCTGAACAAAGTAAGACTTCCGGTTGGTTTTTTGTGATATATTTTCAAAGTAAAGCACCATCTCTCAAAATTCGAACTTTATTTTCAGGACAACTTTCAGCAAACAAAATGAGGTTTTGTGGTCGGACAAAATGGAAAACAAACTACATCAGAGCAGATTTTATTTTAGCATTAACATTTAAAAGAGTGATGCAGTAGAATCTCAAATGAATTAGATCATTAAATAGCAGCTCGCTATACTAATTATACCACTTTATACAACTAAAAAGACACCCGTTATAAATGGTTCATAAGCTGCAATTATGGCTTTATTAAAGAGGTAGGCTGATCCAGTGATTTAGTATTACACTTCAATAAAGTTGTGGGAATCGCAAGAGATCCATTTATAAAAGGGATGGTTAGTCGTCAATTGATGCAGCAGAGATTAACTTTCATTAGAACCTCCCTTGGTTGTAAATTCCCTTGTCCTCCACCTCTGCTGGTATTTCAGGCTTCCTGTTAGAAATTTGTAGTCCCTCAGAAGCCACCAAAGACATTATACAGCTTTTTTGACAGGCTGAGTAGAAATAACCATGATTCATTTGATGTGCAAAATCAATTGATTGTCTATAGTTAGAGTTACAGTTAATAAATCATTTCCCAATGCTTTATATATGTTAAAAGGCATTAAAACAATATGGGTTTCCAGGTTGTGGCTCTTTGCTTTATCAAGAAGACAACCTAAGTGGACCACTTGAAAAGGGGCTGCAGGCCATCTGGACTAAAGCCCACTTATTAACAACTTATCACTATTTACAATTGCAGACTTGATAGGATACTGTACAAATGACTTATAATTGAAAGTAAGAAACTTGTGACACATTTGTCAATGTATTTATTGCCATTTGTAACTACATTGGTGGCAGACTCTAAAAGGTGCAGCAGCTGCATGCAGCTGCAGCTGTAGGAAATTGTGATTCAATGAAACGGTTCTAAACACTTTTCTAGCATGTAGCACATGCAGCCTATGGCATATGCATCACATTTTCTCCATTTAAAGGCCCCCCTAGCACTGCATTGTGCTTTCTAGCACATTGGACCTTCTTTATTGCACCTTAGAGGTAACTTTGTAATGTTTTATCTACCATAAGGACATTCAGAAGGGCACTTTTGATGCAGCTCCATTCTAACGTGGGGCATCAGGTGGGGTTAGAGTCATTACTTTTTTTTTTATGAAAGACTAGCTAACATTTATAACTGCTGACCTGATGACTTAGGCATAGTAGAACGTCAGATTCTCGTGAGACTAATATCTTACTAACATTTAGAAAGTGAGAAAATCATACAATCCATGTATATCTACTAAATAGACCTATGTATTTCTATGGTTAGGTAAGTTATGGCCTACAGAAACATTTGTATTTATACAATAAAGCCAATTCTGATTCTGTTATCATTTACCAACATTTCTAACTGCATTATTACTAAACAGAAATAAACAGCGATGTTGTTACCAAATTATTTCTGTTAAATCAGAACACACTGATTAATCTCTATTCAAAAATCAAGGTGAGAGCTTTCTCATTTTAAAATGGAAAGAAAAGAACTACTGTACTGTTTCTTCCACATTTTTACTATTTCAAGTATTCATAATGGATGTACAGCTTGCCAAACTCTATGTAACCTATAAGCCACAAAGTTTAAGTTTAAGTTTAAAACTTACTGTATTCAAAATAATAAATAAGATAATGCAGCCTCTAAGTTTATGTGCTTTCATGTTGAAGGCTCACAACCTGATGTCTTTTTTTGATTATTCTTGGAAGCTTTACACATTTCACTTTCGTACCAAGAAATTAAGAAAGTTATAAAGGCTCCATGATAACATCAACGTCCGGTTATGACTTTCATAGTAAAAGCCCAACTGACAATCTTGTAACCTGTATGGTGGTATCGTTTTTGATCAAAGCTAATTCTTATCGTGAAACAAATAGTGTTCAAGTGATGTGTGTGGTCACATCAACAAAGACAACAATGTAACTCATCATATGAAAACACTTCTAGTACCTCTTGTAGACTGTTTACAAGAAGTCGTGAAGCACAAAGACAATTATTTCCGGTCACATTTTGTATGGACTTCAGAATAAAGGTCCAAAACTAATTCGGTAAGTAAAAGTAAGTTGTTCGATTTATTGAATTTCTATGAAGTTTAAGATCAAATTTGGAGCAACAATTGTAAAAAACAAAACAAAAAAAACAAAAAAAACGAGTAGAGATAAAAATGTAAAACTGTTGCATTTGTAACATGTTTTTGTAAACATATAAAAGAAGTGCAAGGAAATATGAATGTGTTTTGCGAATTTAATGAGACAACAATGAAGACATAAGATAGTCAAAACAAACTACTTATATTGAGGATATCTTTCTAGTTGTGATGTAAATATTTCCTTTAGTCAAAGTGACTTATGTATTCTTATAGAGGAAGTCCTCAGATCTTCTACGTAAGTATAACTAATACCCCAATGTAAAAATATTCCATTACAAATAAAAATCTGAATTCAAATTTACATTTCTAACTGATTATGCATAAAAGTAGTATCAGTACTCACACAGAATGGCTCATTTCTGAGGGTTATATATATATTACTGTAGCTGTAGCTGGTTGAGCTGACTACTGCTGTTACGTTACATCAATGCATCATTTATTATACAATGATCATATATGTTGCATGTAAAATATTAATCTGCAAAGTAACTACTAACCATTGTAAAATAATTGTCGTAGCCTACTATACTTTCCACCACTGACCTTCAATGCATACCAAATAATCAGTGGTAATACATGACAATACAACTGGTGTAAAACTTTGCCCCCTAAATGCCATGAAACCATCCACATAAATAATTTTACTCTGAAAAACCTGTCAGTGACACACCGGAAAATGAACTATTCTGTGTATATCGCTTCAGAGAACTCAGTCAAACAAGAGGCAATAGACCGTCCTCCCCTTTGCAATCGCCTGCCACAGTGCCACCGGATGGTTTTCGCGGAAGTGATGATATTTTTCAAGGAGCTACATTATGTAAATTGTATTGCACAATCGTGCATGTCTGGCTGACTGTCATGTGGCATTAGGAGTGGACCCTTTAATCAACCAGGATGCTGTGAAGCCCGTTGGAGAGCAATTGAAATAATTCTCAAGTGTGTGATAAATTAGTTAAGACATATTATCTCACACAACTCCATGTTTGTGGAAAGCCTAAACTGATAGGAAGCAACAACAGATGTGTGCCTACTTCTGAAAGGCTATATAAATATCACTTATGAAATACCAGTACAGTCAGTTCCTATTTTCTAGCGAAGTGTGTAGTTTATTGTACATATGAGAAATAAAGACAAAGTATAGCCATTTTAGAGCTGCAGGGTGTGTGAGTGCGTGCGCGCGCATGTCAATCCCTTGCAGCGACTATTCAGCTAAACCTGTCTTCCTTCAGATCGTTTAGCAGAAAAGGCTGTCTTTATTTGGTCATCACATGAAAACCAAGTGCCTTAGTACCAGCGAGTGGGTTCTGTGAGCCGTGGGTGCATTCCTGGGTTAATATTTCGCTGCTTTTTGTTTGATAGTGTCTATCTTTGCCTACAGTTTTCTCTCTATAGTCTCTAGTGGGTTGTCTTTCCTCTCACAGTAGCCCACGCCCGTGCATAGGATGAAGTAAATGTTGATTATGTAATCAGCTCTCAGCGCAAACACATGCCCATTCTTAAATAATATGTGCTCAAACAACTACGGTAATGCTCCAAAATAAACAGCGCGTCTCCACATATATTGCATTCTTAAACACACATACTGCATATACAGAATATTTTCCTCGCATTCCTGCCTCTCAGGCAAGCAAGCATGCGCATGAGACGCTCAGCTTTTGCCTAATTTGGATATGGTAATGAGTGGCTTCAACCAGCCAATGAGGAGCAAGTATTTGAGCACGTGACGCTGAAAGACCGCTTGGGAGGCGGGGTCAAGCGCGGAGCTTAGGTTAAAACCAGTGGACAAGACACAGCGCATTCAGTGTAGGGAGAAGCAGGGACTCACTATGAGGGGGAACTTTGTTACTATGAAACTTAGGAATATTTGCAAAATATTGTAAAAATTATCAAAATCCCTCGTGAATCAATAACCTGCCCCTAGGGTTTGAGGTTTTTAGTTTAGTTTGCCCGGAAAGGGCTTCTACACTCACTATTCTTACACTTTTTTGAAAGAATGTGTGAGACAGACTAGTTAGCCAGCTAGCTAGCTAGCTGAGAGGTGATACAGGCGGCAGGAGAACAAAAGATTTTTTTTGCGTTTTGACCGGTTGTACTGACACCAAGTCCATGCAGAACGTGTCATTACCATCACAATGCCCGTTTTACTTTTTCTGATAGACACGTCCGCTTCAATGAACCAGCGCACCCATCTGGGCACTACCTATCTGGACATAGCAAAAGGCGCTGTTGAGACTTTTATGAAGGTACTGTAACCACGGGACACATTAATATTGGGAGATCCCCGAGCGGGATTGCGGTTCAGATCATCATTGTACTGTTGCAAGCTCGCCTGTCAAACCTGATCTCTCCGATAACCGTAAATAATTCTCTACTATTTCCACAGCTCAGAGGGAGAGATCCGGCGAGCCGAGGGGACCGGTATATGTTGGTAAATTTTGAAGACGTTCCGTTCGGGATAAAGGTAGAGTTTGTTTTCGGGTCATGTCCAGCTTTACATTGCGCAGATTGACTGTCCCTCCATCGCTCCACCACGTTGTGATCACTACATCAATTGTGTAGAGAAAATCTTCAGGAGGAGCTTTCATACCCCCTTTAAAACATGGCCGACATTTTGTTTCAATGTGAGCAGCAAGGAACTCTGGGTGTTATTTATACAGCGAAGTGATATCTGGGGGGAGGAGGAGGAGGAGGAAGAGGGGGTGACAGACTAGCTTACTTTAC